AGATTTCATTTTTTTTATGTTAAGGTGTTGTTTTGAGCTAAAAAGATTCATTTTTTTTGCTGTGGGGTTCTTGTTTTTTGTTCAAAGGTTTCATTTTTTTTGTGTTAAGGTGTTGTTTTGAGGTAAAAAGATTCATTTCTTTCTGCGGGGTTCTTGTTTTTTGTTCAAAGATTTCATTTTCTACTGTTAAGTTGTTGTTTTGAGCTAAAAAGATTCATTTTTTTCCTGTGGGTTCTTGATTTCTGTTCAAAGATTTCATTTTTATTTGTGTTGTTTGGATTTAGTTCAAAAGATTCAAGCTTTATTGATTAATCCATTAATGGGGTGTTCAGCTTCTCGTTCCTATGACTTTGTTACGACAGATCCACAAAATCCATGGAATTCTTCATCTTCTTCACATTCACAATCTCCATATTCATACTCAGATTCATCTTCAACTCCAGTTTCAAGAACCCTTTCTCTTTCTACTCCTTTGGTTCATCATCCTGCTATGTGCAAAGGAGATACAAATCATTTGGTTTCTCTTACTTCCACTACTTATGGTTCCCTTGTTTTAATTGACCCCCAAATTCCAAACCCTAACCCTAACCCTAGTTTCCATGGAAATTTCAAGAACCCTCCTACCCAAATGACAAAATCCCTAAATGGGACTGAACCACAAGACCCTTTATCTCCTGATTCAGTAATCAACACTTGGGAGCTCATGGAAGGACTTGATGACTTTGATTTCCATATGGTGCAGTCCAAGATTGAGTCCCCTAGAAAGGTTAAGTCTAAGAGTCTTGATATCCATAATGAATTGGATACAAGTGAGTTGGAAAAAAACCTATGAGTTTGTTGAGCACTCGGATTCGAAGCCGTTATGGAAGCATTTGTCTGAGGAACAATTGCTTGCTAAAATGGATCCTAATGTAGCTTCAAGCTATAGACACGCATTGTCTTCCAAAAGATTTGTGTACAAAGAATCAGAAGATTGTCCAAAGCCCGAAATTGTTAGTTCGATAGAGTTAGAGTCGAGTAACACAAGTTTGTTGGCTGAAAATGATTTCCATTTAAAGGGTAAGGAGGATAAAATACAGCCTGAAATTGTTAGTACAATAGAGCTAGAGTCGAGTAATGCAAGTTTATTGAGCTCATTGTTGCCCAATAATGATGCCCATTTAAAGGGTACAGAGGATAAGATTGTTCTGTATTTTACTAGTTTAAGAGGAATCAGGAAGACTTATGAAGAATGCTGCATAGTGCGAACGATCTTTAGAGGTTTTCGGGTGTGTGTGGATGAAAGAGATGTATCTATGGATTCATCATATAGGAAAGAGTTGCAAAGCATTTTGGAAGGAAAAATGGTTAGCTTGCCTCAGGTGTTTATTGGAGGAAAGTACATTGGTGGTGCAGAAGAGATTAAGCAACTTCATGAGGCTGGAGAACTGGCTGAGCTCGTGGAAGGCTTTGCAGTAAAGCATTCTGGTTTTGTTTGTGGAAGCTGTGGCGATGCAAGGTTTGTACCCTGCCCAAATTGCAATGGAAGTCGAAAAGTATTTGAAGAGGAGGAAGGGAAGTTGAGGAGGTGCCCTAGTTGCAACGAAAATGGACTGATTCGATGCACTGGCTGTTGCCCGTGATTATTGATTCGCATTTACCATGTACATGGTTCCACTATTTTATTAGAGGTCTATGAATTTATGTTCCTACTTATGTATTGATATTGAAATGTGCAGTGTCCTCTTGTAGACCGATTTCAGGTGTCCATATTCTCTTGCCTTGGAAAATTTCATGCTCATTTTCTTTTTGAACAACTCGAAAGTAATAAAATCTCTGCAGTATGTTCTTCTTTGCTTGCCCAGTTCTGAACAAATATGTGATATGGAAATGTTATTGTTTCTTCTATTTTGAGTGGAAGTATTCGTGGGACTCTTAAGAGATTTATACCACTGGTAAGGTTTCGACAAGTTTGTTCTGCAGCATGTAGTATCAACTGTTTTAAGCTCGTGGATTCATGTTTGGAAATTCTTTCTTTGGTTTACTACCTCTATTTAGCTGCTATTAACTTTGCATTGTTGATATAATATTCTATGGATTACGACATATTAACTTGATAAGCTGCTTGTTGGAGAGAAAGTACCAACGCCAATCTACAGTCTGAAGCTAACCAACTTTTCCAATTAGGTCTTGAGTTAGTTCAGACAGATTTGGACTGGAATTGAATCACAATATACTATTCTTAACGGAGATAAGTATTTATCTGTAGATGTCTATCATTTACTAACATGGTGCAATTTCATCAGTTTAGAATGACTGATAATATCTGTAGATTTCTTTCTATGATAGAGTGATTTGTCTCTTTGAGTAGATTTATTAGCTATTCTCTTTTCCACATGTTCTATCTTGCATGTCAGACCATTTGGCAACCTCAAGTGGTGGTGAAGTCCAAAAGACCTGCAGAAACAAATTCTACGGATAATGTTTTCCGGAAGGTAATGTCCCTTTCTCAGACTGAACTGAATTGGGAGTTTTCTTCTTATGATTTTGAGGATACATACTTCAAACAAGATGACTGTAAAGCTCTTATGCCATAATATTCAGGGCTAGGCGGCTTCGTTCTGCTTCTGTATTATCTTCTCTTTTTGTGGTGCAGTTATTTCCATGTTTTGTTTGGTATATCAAGAAATTTAATGATTTTATCCACCATCTGCTTGCTCCATTGGTGCAAGACCTCTTGCAGTGTACAAATTTCTATTAATTTGCTTGTTGCTTTCTCAGACACATAACGACACGTGAGTCCTTTCCATTTGCCTTAGCCTTGGTGGGGATGAGTTATTTAATACTTGTGCTAGCTGAATGTTGTAGCATGTATTTGGTGAAATAGTCGAGGTGAACGCAAACTAGTCCAGATGCCTTCTCTTTAAAAAATGAATTTGTTTGATGAGTTGCTTTGAAGTTTTCCCATATTTTTGTGGGGTGTATGTAAGCTGGTAGTATATATCAGCAAGTTGGTGTTTTTTGATATAAAAACTTGAAGTTGGTCAGAAGTCAATAGTAACACTGATTCAAGTAGAAGGCACTGTTGTGGTTGAAAGGCTCACATCCGTTACTGGCTTCTTATGCTCTTTGTGGCAAAAACACTAGGTGGTTTCTTTACATCTGTGAAAAACTTCGATAGATAGAATTAGCTAGTACTTGTGATGGTGGGAGGTAGCAGGTACTCGTGAAATTAATCGAAGTACAACAAGTTGAATACATAAACATACACTCAAATTTGGCCTCCAACCGGTATATAAGCACTCCAACTTTGAGAGTGCACATCTAGACACCTCAACTTTATCTCAACTAGCAACTAAACACTCCAATTCGTTCCTATTGTGTCTTGCGACACTCAATGCTGACATGACACATGAATTTTTCTAGTGTCAAAATGATTATTTTGTAAGTTGGAGTGTTCAGTTGACACAACGGAGACGAGTTGAGGTGTCTAGATGATTGCGTATTTGTTTAGTCTTAAAACTCAAATTATAAATTTTCAAATTGACAACTGAGAAGATGCTGAACAGTAACCATCACTCTGGACAAGGAAGAAAAAGATGAAAATGAGAGGTGCATAAAGACATCCTAGGGATGGTGGCAATACATTAGAAATCTATCATTATGTCTGGTCCACAAGACCAAAACCTCATTATTGTACCAGAAATTAATTGTTTGGCTAGCATAACTTTGGACAAGATTTGAGCACCTAACTTGTAGGCCAAAATATGTACTTAATGTTCCATTCTAATTGAGGGTAAGGTTTGTCAAAAAAGAGAAAATAATGAGTATTCAATCCAAAAATTTAAGCCATGAGTGAAGTGGCCCGCGATATTATAAACCCCTTTATGAAAATCTTGTACGATCAAGGATAAATGTATTTCTCCAACATCTTTATGGATTACACGTGGGGTTGTTAACTGATTATCTTTGATACATATGAAAGAATCTGAGCATGTTTAGAGAACATAACGAGAAACATATATATGCAAACAAGCTTATTGAAATTTAGCTTTGAGACGTATGAAAGAATATTAGCGTTCAATCCAAAATTTTGTAAGTAGTTGATGGAATGACCTAAGACAACATAAACTTAATTTGAAAACTTTGAGACATAAACAATTTCAATGAAGAGCAATTGTACTTCTCTAACAAAAGAGCACTTTATAAAAGAAGAAAAAAAAAAAGGCACTTTATAAAAAAATTAAAATTTAAAAAAGACATTTTATTAGAATTGAACCTTTTATTCCAACCTGTCTATAAAAAGGCATTCAAGTTTACCAAGCCCCAAAGTTAACTTTTTTTAGCATTTGGTTGATTTATTTCTAAAAGCTTCTACTTTAATTTAAACATTTAAAATTCCCTCTCTATATGTTGATTCTTTAACAAGGTGAGATAAATGAAAATAATTAATTAATAATGAATGGAAATACACTAGTATCACTTACTATTTATTAGTTTTAGAGCATGTCTTGATGTTATGTTTAGAATTTGTTATTGTATGATATAACTAATGAAATACATGTTAATTAAAAGTCGGATTTTTTTAGACATAATACATAGATGAACATTTTAATTTGATCTTAACTAACAGTTGGACATTTCAACTCTTGTGTCAATTGAACATTCCAACTTACAAGATGATCATCTAAACACCTCCAAAATTTATGTGTCACGCAAACATCGAATATTCACGAAATATATAGTAGAAACGAGTTGAGATGTCTTAATATGCATTCTCAAAATTTGAGCGCTAAGTTGTAACCAAAATGTTTATCTATGTCTTATGCCAAAACTAATCGAAATCTCAAGAAACCAAAACAACTTGGTTGATATTTTACAATAATAAGCAACAAATCTATAAAATTATAATTTTATTATTTGAAATAATTAGTTGAACAAGTATTAACAATTTTACCTACATGATGCTTAAAATTAGAACCAATAAAGTGAACTGTAATTTCCGAAAAATTTGCAAAAATCAGTTTCTTCCCCAAATATCAGTTTTTCCATTTTGAGCTCCACCATTAACGCTAATTAGGGCTTTGAAATTGGTGGATTACAATTTACAAACCCCAGAATCGAAAATGGAGGTAAAAATCAACCGATTGTTTGGGCCAATTGTTACATTCGTCAATGGAGGGGACCAGCTTCCTTGGACCTCACCTGACATTATTGTTGTAAGCTTTCTTGAATAAACCATTCTTATAAATTTCATTAAAGCATTGATCTTTACATTCATATTTCATGTTTTTGATGATTTGGGATTTTGGGGTTCCAGTAATTTGTGGTATCAGGTATATTTACTAGCACTTTCTCCTCTCTACGTGACATGCTTAAGAACACAAGGCTTGTATCTATAGTTTAAGATGATAATATTCAAAAAAAAAAAAAAAAAACTTTTTTGAACTCCGTGCCAAGATAAAGGCAGAGAGTATGATTTTCGTTGATAAGTGGGTGATTGTGGTTGGAGCCAGAGGCGAATTTAGAGCCAAAAAATAGGGCACCGGCACCCATGGTCTCTTCGTAAAATTAGATATTTTATATGTATATTTTTTAAGATTTTGTATAATATTATATTCTGGTACCCGTACTACAAGAAGTCTAAATGATCCACATGGTTAAATGTTGAGCTTTTGACCTTGAGGATTAAGGATCAATTCTCACTTCAATACATTTTACTTGGTGCACTCATGTTCAAAAAATCCTAGATTCGCCTCTGGTTGGAGCTAAGATTTTAATTTTATGGTATGGACATTTAGAATGCCGATTTCAAGGGCTAGTGATTGGATTCTTAATACGTGTACATATTTAATGAATTTTTTAATACGGATATACTGTTTGAGCAAAAGCTAACTGTTTCGACCAAACCGGTATCTTGGCTTTTCTTTGTCATAAACATGCTAGTTGGTAGTTGAACATGCCTTATTTAGTCTTTTGCATGATTTGACTATTTATATAAGAAAACTGTTGCTTTGGGTTGCAGAAACTATGAAGAAAGTTTTGATTTTTACTAACATCAAAAGAATTTGTTATTGAGAATAAAGAGTTGATGAGAAATATGTTGCTTTAGGCTGTAGTAACTTTGGAGAAAGATCTGTTTCTCTAATTAACAGTAGAAACTTGTGTTATTAATAAGGAAGAGTCCATTGGTTGATATCGTTCTTGTTAGTGAATTTGAAGTTTTGCATTGGAGACACTGTGTGTTAGCCATTTTAATGTTGTTACTAATAAAGATGAAGTGGTGCTTTTCGTTATATCAGCATGCAGTAGTGGCCTTACTTGTTAGTTCTTATGAATCCCTGAACATATAAAACTTATTTGGTCTAATTTTTGTCTCACAAGATAAAATACAAGAGAGAAGTTGAATGAATTGGCTTGTATTGAGAAGCAAAAAATGAAGCGATAATTGTACTATGTTGCTTTTGGTGCTTAGTCTTATGTGCCTATGCATATTGATAGGGCTGCGAGAGAGAAGTTGCAGATGCTAACAAAGGTGCCTCTGATGAAGGGAAGAATGAGAGTATTATGAGATTGTCATGGGCTCTTGTTCATTCTAAACAACCTGAAGATGTGCAACGAGGGATCGCTATGCTTGAGGGTGAAAATTAGTCAGATCTATTTCCTATTTTATGTTACACATTGTTGCTTGACTTGCTTCTACATATCTAGTAATGTTTGTGAATTGTGATACTACCACCGACGTCTATCTATTTTCATCATTTAACTCCTAGTTTCCATATTCATGGACATATACGCCTGATGCTCTTCTTTGTCTTTGAAATTCTAAAGCAACACACATTCATGAAGTTCCCACACTTGATGGACATTGTTGAGACAATTTCTATTGTTTCTCTTGTAGTGTTAGTAGCTCCTTATAAATGGTCTTAGGAAGTAAAGTTCATCGAGTCAAGAACATGTAATGGACTACTACAATCATGCTACTGTTGAATCATCGCAAAATTACTCTGGATTTTGTTCTCTTTTTTTTTTTGGTTTCCCATCCGGTGTTCGGAGCCCACATTGGAGCTCCGACTAAATCCGGATCGCGCACTGCAGGGCCCATTCGGGGGTGGTGCTACCAATGGATTTGGTTCATTGGTTCCTGGTACTGTTACTTTCAACTCTTTTGGGCTTTTGTTGCTTAAAATCTTTTTATTTTTGTGTTTGATTGGATGTTTATGTGTCTAATGAATAACGTACTTGAGGATTCGATCTATAGAAACCATCATCTCTTTGCTTCTTCTTTTTCTTCTCCAGCTTCACTTGCCAACGCAAGTAGTCCACTACAGCAGCGAGAAAAGCTTTATCTTTTAGCTGTTGGATATTACAGAAGTGGGGAATATTCAAGGAGCAGAGAGCTTACCGTTCAATGTCTAGAGGTTTGGTCCTAATCCTTTTACTGTTCTTAGTCGTTTGCTGTGAACTCTCTACTCACTCAGATATCTAACTCCCGAAATCAACTTGTTATTTATCGATCATTTGAGACAATCAGAATTCAACCACCCTGTTTAGTTTTGCTTAAAGTTTTTTTCTTCCCTTTAGATTGCACCTGATTGGAGACAAGCTTTATCGCTTAAGAAGGCTATCGAAGATAGAATAACTAAAGGTAATGACCCGAGACTTTTTCCCTTGCTTGCTCGATTTTGGATAACAGCATATTAAATTGGATTCATTTGTGTCTATGCAATGCAGATGGTGTCATTGGTATAGGAATCACTGTGACCACTATAGGACTCATTGCTGGTGGGATTATAGCATCGTTGGTCCGAAGAAAATGATCTTCACCAAAACAACTATCTGAGGTTATTGACACAAAAACCCGAGTTTCTATTAGATGAACGAACTATATTAGTTCGTTTCTTTTCCATTTCCTTGCCTTCTTCTTCTCTTCGACTCGTTTAAAGGGAGTCAGTAAATGTTCTATAGAATAATGCCAGGCCATATGGCTGAAATTCTAGTGATTTACTGTTCGTTTGGTTAAAGACTCACTTTGAATTACTAGTTATATGAAATGTCATGTAAATTTGGCTTCGATATTTGTTTAATAACTGTGTGTGAAAAACATACAATCACTTGCCATCTATAAACTATTCATATTAGGAATAGTTTTTATTCCAAATTTACATTAACAACAAATTCATGAAGGGGTCAAACTATGTATCCTTAGGTATATTCGGATTAAGGAAAAACTCTGAGAGATTGCTTCGAAATAAGATTCCTGCTGCTGGTGGGACGGCTAGTATATTTTATAAAAAATTTGAAGAACCAAATGCAAAAGCCATAAGGGTAAAACAAATATTCTTCTCATGAATGCCAATCACAGTTTAAATATGTATCATTTCTCTCAAGTGGCATTGACTGCTTGGATAATAATAGTTCCAAATACAAATAAACAAAAGGGAGGCACAATAGCATCTTCTGCCCCAAACTAAGGCATATTTGTCCACTAAAATAATTCACAACTTTTTCCACAGATTGTTGAAACATTTACATGGCTAATCATAATGAGAACCTTACTCCTAGTGAGCTTCTTCAAGCTGAAACACAGTCATGGAACCAACTCTATTTCTTCATAGAACATGTAACATTGAAATGTGCACTTCAATTGGACATACCTAATGTCATCACCAAACATGGCAAACCAATGACAATATCAAAGCTCATGTCTTCCCTCCCTATTAGGCCTTCAAAATTTCCCTATTTTCACCGCCTTACACGAATATTAGTTCATTATGGCTTCTTGATTCTACAAAAACATGATGATAACGACGTTGATGATGATAAAGGGTGTTATTCGCTTGCACCAGCTGATCGTTATGTAGTGAAGGACGGACCATGGAACTCGATGGAAGATCAAGATTCATTCTTCTTTAAAGCATGGAATTGTTTAGGTGATTGGTTCAAGAATGATGATCCCAGTGCATTTTATACAGCATATGGAGACTTATTCTGGAGTAAACTTTCGAGTGATTCAAGTACTGGTAATTGGTTTAACGAAAACATGTCTAGAGATTCGCGATCATTCATGAACGTGTTAATTGGCAACGAGTTTAAGGATGTGTTCGAAGGATTGACATCTTTAGTGGATGTTGGAGGAGGGACTGGAACCGTCGCAATGTCCATAGCCAAAAATTTCCCTGACATGAAATGTATTGTTCTTGATCTTCCTCCTGTTGTGGCTAACTTGCAGGGAAGTGAAAATTTGGAGTTTGTAGCAGGGGATATGTTTCAGAAAATTCCTCCTGCTAATGCTGTCTTACTCAAGGTAAATAAACTACACTTTTCGCTAATAATTCCCCTGTATTACTAGTTTCTCTTATAACAACATATCCAGTGTAAGCCCACAAGTCTGAGGAGGGTATAGTGTAGAAAAACCTTACCCCTACCTCGTAAAGATAGAGGTTGTTTCCGATAGACCCTCGGATCAAGTAAAACATCTCAAAACAGTTTGAAAAAGAGAATACAAAAATGAAAGCAGTAACAACAACAAAATATAGCGTTGTGAAAAGCAATAGTACATAGCATACATAGAAAGAGCAGTAACAACGAACTAGTGAAATAACCGAAGCTCATGAAACATTGTTGGTGTTTTTTAAAAAATGGGGCAGCACAAAATGATTGAAAATTTCTCTCAATGGATTGAAATGACTTTCAATAGCTTTCAATAATTTTATGAAGCATTGAGGGGCTTTAAATAGCCAACATAAAACACATAATCTACATAATTTATAATTTAAACAACCTAAAATATCTCAACAATATAAACAAACTAACTAAAATTCAAAATTCAAATTTATTCAAACTAAATAACTTATTTTGCTAAAAGTTACTGCAGTAACTAAAAGCAAACTTCAACACTCCTCCTTTGCTTTAGTTACTGCAATTGAAAAAAATGCACCTCCTCAATTTTTGCTTTGGTAGTTGATGCTGAATTTTATACATTGTTTTGAACTTGCAAAATTTCTTCTTTTTTCTTTTTCTTCTTTTGATTTTGTTCTTCAAAAACACATGCAATGACATTGTCTTGTGTAGAGGTTGTAAGGGTTTTTCTTCCATCGCAACCTCACATATCACATATGTTTCAAAATATGGTTTTATTCTCACAGGCCAAATTTGATAGTTTTCGTCTGCGAAAATTTGTGGGGCATTCAAAGAGAGACTGATGCTTGCCATTATTTTGGTTAAAAATGATTTAGAAAAGCCTGTGCGTTGAAAAAAGCACCAGTTGAAAAGGTAACCTTGATGGGATAAAATGGGTAGCCCTGATGGGTTAAAAAGGTAGCCCTTACGGGTTAAAAATGTATGATAGTTCTTTGGAAGATTTCACAGATCCCTTAAGATCAATGAAGCTCTTGATACCACTGTTGGTGTTTTTTAAAAAAATGGGGCAACACAAAATGATTGAAAATTTCTCTCAATAGATTGAAATGACTTTCAATAGCTTTCAATAATTTTATTAAGCATTGAGGGGCTTTAAATAACCAACATAAAACACATAATCTGCATGATATAAAATTTAAACAACCTAAAATATCTCAACAACATAAACAAACTAACTAAAATTCAAAATTCAAATTTATTCAAACTAAATAACTTATTTTGCTAAAAGTTATTGCAGTAACTAAAAACAAACTTCAACAAACATAGATAATAGCATCAATTGACGAACAAGAAACTACGAGAATACTAGTCTTGTCACTTCTCTAATTAACTTTTGGACATGTTAATTTTGTAGTCAATTTTGCATGATTGGAATGATGAAGAATGTGTGAAAATTTTGAAGAACTGCAAGGAGGCAATAAGAGGAAGTGGAAAAGTTATAATTATAGACATGGTGATGGAAAATCCAGAATTGGATGATGAATCTGTCCAAGCACAGCTCTTCATAGACATGTTGATGATGGTTTTTGTGGGTAGCAAAGAGAGGAACAAGAAAGAATGGGAGAAACTTTTCTTAGATTCTAGTTTTACTAGTTACAAAATTACGTTGACTCTTGGTTTGAGATCTGTCATTGAGCTCTACCCTTAGATCTCTCATGATTGTGTTGTATAAGCGGTCTGTCAGAGGCGGATTCAGGATTTAAATTCTACGAGTTCAATCTTTAAGATTCTTATCATTGAACTCGGTGTAGTTTTAAAGTTATGGGTTCTGACCTCATATAAATTTATGTTTTGCATCGAAAGTACGGAGTTCAGATGAATTAGATATTCTAAAACGAAGTTTTATCAATAAAATACTAGTCATTTATTAGTGTATAGTTCTAATTTTTTTCTAGGTGGCTTTTCGGATAGTTAGAGTGAAAATAGTAGTAGGTATCCTAGAGCTTTTATATTATACTTTTATATAAAGTTTTCTCTGTTATCGAGTCTTGTATATTCTGTTATCTGCAACAAAAAAAATTCCTGTTCTATACTTGAAGAAAATCATGATGCAGAGGTCTTTAATCAGAGGTATCAATCAAGAAGTCGTTTCAGCGATAAAATGCAGGATTATTTTATCATGTGTTTGGTTAGAGGTATTAGTTAGTCTCGGGATTCGTTTATCCCATCCCCCATACCAAACCAGTTCACTTAGAATACTACTCGGAAATGAGATTGATCTTTCGATTAGTTAGAAGAATATTGTCAACTGGTCTAATGATCATTGTAGTTCTTGATCAGTATATTATTTATCTGAACAGTAATTTAAAGGTCTCAGTAAAACATTTTCATAAAAGAAGCATAATACATAAACAAACACTCAAACTTAGCCTAAGCTGACAAGTAAACGCTCCAACTGAGTATGCACATCTAAACATCTTAACTCGTCTTCACTTTGTCAGTTGAACACTCCAACTTACAATATAATCATCTAAACACCTCCAAAATCAAAGCGTTAAAAAAAACAATACTATTCATGTGCTTCAAAGTAGCAAGTTTACACAAGTAAAACAAAAAACAAAAAAAAAACAAAATTAGTACTAGTTTGTATGCATAAACAAGAGTACAAAGATCAATCAATGCCATAGAGCAACAAGGTGAAAAATAAATGATAAAATTCAACAAACATGACATTCTTGAAGTGGTTGGTTTTGCATCCTATCATTACTAGTTGTTTTTTGGACGGACTGCATAAAAGGTTTGGATGCCTGCTAGAAATGTATCAGTAACTTGCAAACCAATGACAAAAAGTGCTGCAATGAATGCAAAAACAGTCCATGGAGTGTTAAAATGAGTGTTATTCCATTCAGCAATCCATATTTTCCCTTTGCTATTGTAATGTTTCTCAATTTTGTCTTTCACATCAACAAAGGCATGTGGATTCGGCACCAAATCTCTTGCTAACTCATTGAACAGATCTGCTACTTCTTGATCACTTCCAAGAAAGTTAAGTAGTATACCTTTTGATCTCAGCTCCTTCACGTCTTCAGCATGATCGATAAGTGAATCCATGAAACTAACATAAGACGTAATTCCAAAGTCATCTGGTGTATCAGGACATGCTTCATACGCGACTAAGTTTAAAAACTGTGACTTGGTTGAATCATCTATGGTTATAGGTGGAAGTGTTAAAAGAGCTGAGCAATGAAATGAAGTGAACTTAACCTCTGAAAGACGACGACTCTTTCCAGGCCTGAAACGGATTCCTGCTCTACGTAGTTCCATAGCTGAACGATACGAGCACCACTCACCCCTTAGATAGCATCCACCTTCTGAGAAAGCCTTTGTGTTTATGAGATTTGTTTTTAATAGCTCAAGGAGATGAGCCGGAAGCCATGTTTTTTTCGTGCTTTCTTCTTTGCTAAGGGCAGGACATTCTCCTCCACAAATCTTGCTAAGAAAGTTCATAGCTTTTTCAGTACAGCTTTCAGGATGTAGATCACTAAAGAATTCAACAAAGAAATCCTTGATACTTTGAATGAATCCTTTACGTTGAGAAGGGTTTGTATGTGCACTCGAGATGAACGTTGTTATCATCTTCATTCCTACATTGTCCTTGAGCTTACATCTCATTAACACATCCAGGACTTCAAATGGTAACTGATTTTCAAGTAAGAACAGATCACGACGAATGAAAGCTATATCATGGCTCTTCATTTTCAGCTCTTTATAATTACTGGTCACAATGCAGTGAAGGTATTGAAAGATGAAACATCCATCCAGGAACATCATCTGTGCAAACACCTCATCGTTGTAATCTTTGATCGATTCCTCAGCATAACACTCCTTGACAACAGGCATAATGTCCTTGACCTTTCTGTAAAGCTCATCAAGAGACACTGAATTTGTCGAAAGCCATGATAAGTCCCCGTCAAATCTTTTTTCATCAGTTAACTGAATAGCAAGTAGCTTCTTGTACTTCTCCATAGGTTGAAGTTCTGGTTTTCCATGGTGAAATGGACCGATAGAAACCACAAGAGGCTCATAACACCTTAAGTTTGATTCAATATCGCGATGCATTTTTGGGACCTTTTGTATTTTTGGATTCTGCAATGAGCCAAGGTAATCTCTACTCTTCTCTAATGAATTTAGCCATTCTCTCTCATTTTCACTGATTTCATGAGAGTTCGAGTTTGAACCTTGACGAATTGTGATGAGATATTCATCAGGAAATATTTCATCGCCGCGGATACTCCTACCTTCTTCTTTACTAAACATTGTTCCTTTAGAAGATAGTTTGTCCATTTTTTGTGAAATTATGAACCACAATCTTGATAGTATATGATTGAAATTGCTTGAACTTTAATTTTATACACACTTAAACTGAAAAAATGGTCTAATATTTTATGATATAGTTTTACTTTATTGGGCCAGGTGATTTTTCTTCATTGTCAAGTCAGGTATTTTCCACATTCTTATTCCTAACCAGATACATTTTTCAGCGTTCTTCTTAAAACAGAAAAAATAAAACAGAATAGGATTAGATAAAGAGAAAAAGCATTTAGTTTAATTCTTTACCTGCCTGCTAAGAAACATAATCCATGATTAAAAGGGAAAAAGAACAAGGATAACCAATAAATAACTAAAGATGCCCCATCTATAACTGCTTAAGTACTTCTTGGATGTGATAGTTTACTCAAACAACATCTAGTTAAGATGAAGAAATATTTAACATTTCATCGCATCCTTGATAGTAAAATGTCGTCATTAGAATGTCACTTGTAGAACTTATTTTTCCGACTTCCACTAGCAAAGTCATTTTTAACAAACTTGTTTTCCTAGATAGAAATATTTTTAAATGGAGATCAAATAATAAAGGGATAATGCATAAGTACTCTTGAACTATGACCAAAATTTCAGCGACAAACTTAACTTAACTACATTCCTATTACCCCCTCCCCCCCCCAAACTCATTTTTTCATTTTTTTTTGCGCACCTTTTATGTTGACGTGGCACCTTCAACTAGGTAAGTTGGTTGTGTTATTACACACGCGTCTGCCATCTTGTATTTAAACTTTTTAATTTTTTTTTACTTTCATTCATTGTTTTTTCTCTTTTATTTTTCTATTGATTTTATTTATTTTTAAAAAAAAACTGTATTTCCTTTTGAATTGATTTCAAATTTTATTCCAAATGTTTTGTATTTAAAATAAGTTAATTTCGAATGAATATCAAAATAGGTGAAGAAAATCAAATAGAACATAAAAAAAAAAACGTTAAAATTAAAGGACATTTATCATTTTTTTAAAAGAATACAATTAGTTTTCTAAACATAATTAAAAGTGAAAAGATAAGAAATTAATGAAAGAAAAAAATAAAAAGTGAAAGTGAGGAAGAAATTAAAATAAATATTTTACTTAGAAAGAAATAAAAATAATTAAATATATATAAGTATTAATATCAATAATTTTGTGTATTAACTAATTATAAAGTTGCCAATTAAAAAAGGACAAGTATCCAATTTTTTCACTCATCACTTGCCTTCAAGAGAATGTGCAAACTCTCTATGTCACGTCAATTTTAATGATGTATTTATTCCATTTTTAAATAGTTTAGGGAGGATAATATGACTCTAGTTATATTAAGGATAATAGTTGAAGGGATACTTATGCCGTTATGCGTTATCCCAATAATATATAACACTAGTTTAGTCAAGTTACCTATTTAGTTAATATTTTCTATAGATCCAAACCTGATGAATTTAGTTGGTATTTAGATTAATAATATCTTTATTAGGTGTTTGGCTTAATTAAATCGTAATGTATAATAACTATACATTTACTAAAATATTCTTAATTACTACACAAAAATAGTCGAAAATCACTTCTTTTTCTTAGTTATCAAAAACTTTTGTTTCCCAAACCTATTCAAAGTAGGATTAATTACTACCCGTTTTTTTTCTTCTAAATATCCCATATAATAAGTTTCCAAAAATAGTTTTTCCGTAACCTATTCTAATTAAGATTACAACGTATATCTGTGTATATATATATAGTATATTACTAACCCTTCAACCATCACTTCCATCATATAATTTTTTTAATTACCAAAGTTTTTCAATCAACACAATAAATTGCTAGGTAACTCTGTTTCAATCTCTGTTTTCTTCAACCTTGAATTTCATCCTACTGTATTGCGATGAATTACGAGTCGTATAGAGTTGTAGAGAAGTCTCCTTGTGGTAGATACATTAGATACAATCATAAGTTGGGTGTAGGAGCTTCAAAACAAGTCTACAATGGTTGGGATCGCGTTCAAAAACTTGAGTTAGCGTGGAACAAAATTGAAAATGGAAATTTGTTCAATGAAGAAGCTAGTATGTTGAAGTCATTAAATCATGAAAGGGTTATGAAGTGTTTCTCTTATTGGTTTGATTCTGAGTCCAAAACTATGAACATGATCACAGAGTTATTCCCCTCGGGGAGTTTGAAAAAGTACCTGAATAATGTCGTTGGTGTTTGTGGTGATTTGGAGAGTATCAAGAATTGGGGCAGACAGATTCTTGAAGGGTTGAGGTATTTACATAGTCAGAGCCCGAAAATCATTCATAGAGACATTAAGTGTGATAATGTGTTTGTTGATGATGATGGAAAGAAAGTTAAGCTTGGTGATTTTGGGTTGGCTGTTCGTATTACAGATGGTAGTTTATTCGTGAAAGAGGCGAAAGGTACCCCTGAATTCATGGCTCCAGAGTGCTACGATGGAGAATACAACGAGTTAGTGGATGTATATTCGTTTGGGATGTGTTTACTCGAGATGGTTACTGGTGAGTATCCGTATATGGAATGCAGCACTCAGGTTCATATATTTAAGAAAGTGTATGCTGGTGTAAAGCCTGCGTCTCTAGAGAAGGTGAAGGACTCAAGATTGAATGAGATAATCGAGAAGTGTATACTTCCTGCATCTGTTAGGCCATCTGCAGAAGAGTTGTTGAAAGATCCATTCTTTGTATGTAACGGTGGATCATCAACATCGGAGGCTCATGCTCCTACTGTCAATCGTGTTACTAGTCATCCTTTCAAGGGATTACATTGTTGTGCTAGAGTCGTTGCTTGGACTCTTAGAAAATGTCAACGTATCCGTGTCAAATTCTCCAAAAGCTGTGTATTTCATGCACCTGATTCGAAAGTGAAGAGTCTGCACAACTTAAGCTAGGGATATTAGGAATTTGTATTTGATGTAATGATCGATATTTAGTCCTATTCTATTTCATATTTCAAGTCTTTTTTCTATATTAAACTCTGTGCTTAGTAAAAACTAGACAATCAAATCAAAGTAGAGAGAGTAGGTTTTAAGAGACTGGCTAACATTTAAAATGTGGCTAATATTGATAACATTTGTAAAAGAGGCTATTTTACTCACTTTTCCTAGAAGCGTACTAAGGAAGTCCCGCCAATAATGAAAAATGAAAAATAAGTCCCGCCAAAGGTAAAAACTCACAAAATTCACAATTATTGCGCCACCGCAGAAGCCATCCATTGCAGTGTCAGTAATGAAGAATTTTAAACGAGCACCACCGCCGCCGCCGCCGTCGGCGGCGACGCTAGGTCCTAAACCGTCAAAGCATGTGGTGCATATAGGTGGTATTCCGGTGGAGTTTCCTTACCAACCATACGGGACACAGTTAGCTTTCATGAATCGAGTCATTGTGACACTTGATCGAGCACATAGGGATGGACATTCTCATGCGCTGCTTGAGTCTCCTACCGGTACTGGAAAGTCGCTTTCCCTTCTTTGCTCGACTCTTGCTTGGCAGCAGAACTGCAAGTCGAAGAATCGTTATTCTAATTTTACTCACTCTAAACCCGATCCGCAAGCCCTAGCTGATCCTATTGGTCACGGCGGCGGATTTATTCCTGAAACGCAGCCCTCAGGTACTTCATCTCCGTTATTTTGTTACTGATTTGTATAATGATCATCAATTGAAATGTAGGAGCCAAATTTTTTAGCTATGCTTCTGAATAAATAATTTGTATACATTACATGAATTTTTTTTAAATAATATGAAGTTTGAGCTAAAGCAATTGCCTCTTTGAAGGTGTATACATTAAATGCCGTGAACCACATCTGACTTTAAGCTGTTGTAGAGTATCAATTACTAGACATTTCAGTTTCTGTATTTTCAGGCAACCAGGACACAGCGCCACCTGCTGCAAGTAATGGGACGAAAAAGAAAAAAGCGGCACCAACCATCTTTTATGCCTCGTAAGATTCATATTTTTGAAAAAGTTTATGTGTCAATATTACTGGTCCCTTTATAAAATTGAATCGTTCAAGAGATCCTTACATGTGAACCAAGACATTAGTGTATGAATTTATACCCTTTTTAAGAAGCAGCAAACTATAGGCAAGCGAATTGGTGGAATTTGTGTATTGAAAATCAGGCCATCTTCTTTTTCTTTTTCAAATGTAAATTCTCCATCACACACACACACAGTAGCACCAAGTAGGTGTGTCACAAAACTTCACAGAGAATTGCATCTCCAAGGAGGATACAACGCTCAAACAATATACTCGTATGTTTAGCTTGCACCAAAAAGAGTTAGGTCTAAATAACCATTCTTCAATTTGTGTACTGCAATGCATTTATCTATAAAGTATCTTTGACTTTCACTGGTCATGTTATGCACATAGGTACAATTCCCCAATGTTTCTTCACTCTTTCCACGCTGCATCCTCTCCATGCTACTAGCTATATCTTTTAATGTTCTTGGCATTACCCACATTATAATTTCATATGTTTAATCATGTGGCCTATCATAATTTTGTGTACTTGGACCATTGTGACTCTTTCTGCAATTGAAAAATATTCTTAGGAGGACACATTCACAAATTTCTCAAGTGATTCGGGAATACAGAAAGACAAGTTATCGGGTGCCAATGGCTATACTGGTAGGTTACCTGTTTTCTTTCAATAAGTTATTATATTCTTTTCCAATCTTAGTCTTACCCACATTTTAAAGAGTTGGATCACATATATTTCAGTTGGTAAGTAGGAGCTTCGGTCTATTTTTAACCCATAAAAATATGGACAAGTATGGGTAAAAAATGGGTATCCATATTTTACTAGAAAGCCAACTCAAAAATTGCATTCTAACGTTCTTATGTTGTTTGCTTATATAAGATGATAGAAGAACCTTCCACTATGAAAAGAATTTGCATACAGCAGAATAGCCTAGATTTGCAATGAAACTAATAGAGCTTCAAAATCAACAATGTGAAAACTGCAAAAATAAAATAAAATATTAAAACTGTCTAGTGTGTAATTAGTGATTTTGTTCTATCAGAATAACAACAACACAATACCCATTAATATGAAACATGAAAAGGAAATGAAAGAAATAAAGAATGAAAGTTACTGGTCAAACAAAGAAGAAAGAAAAAAAAAATGAAACTTACCTGTGAAAAAGAGAAGAAATTAAGTTTTTTTTCTTTAGGAGATTAAAGTGGGTTAGGACCATTTTATCCAATCCATTTTTTACCCATATTGATATGGGTTGGTTGCAATTCAATCCATTTTAGCTCAACCCATTTTCAATCCGCCTAAATCCTATCCAATCCGCTCATTTGCCACCCGTAGTTGTTGTTGTTATTGTTGTATGTTTCTTTCAGCTTGAGATTTTACTTGTTTCCTTCCTGTTCGTCATCTTTCAGGCTTCACGAAAACACTACTGTACAAATGTGAATGTACGAGGTGCAGACAACATTGATGAAAAATGGTGATTTTTCATATATTCATACAAAATATGCTTTTCTATCTCTTTTGTCCAATGTTGTAATGTTATGACTGAAATTGCAGTAAGTTGTTATTAAAGGATCAGGAGGCTGGATGCTCAGAATTCAAGTTAGTTTGACTTTCAACTGTTTATATCATCTATTCTTCTCTAGATTAAAAATTGAGATGTTAATCATCTAATTTCTGAACAGAAATACTCATAAAGTAAAAGGTCATCCATCCATTCAGAAAGGAGGGTGCCACGAGGCTCATGATATTGAAGATCTTGTTAAAGTTGGACAAATTGTCAAAGGTGACAGCCTCTGTGTAAAGTTTTCCCATTATTTTCCATGCGAGAGTGAACTTATCAGCAAATTATTATTCAATTTTCAGGCTGTTCTTACTTTGGCTCACGTTCCATGGCTGATGATGCGGAGTTAGTGTTCTGTCCATACAACTATATCATCAATCCAGTTGTTAGAAGAGCAATGGAAGTAGTTATAAAAGGAGCCATCATTATTCTCGATGAAGCCCAGTATGTATAGATATAAACCACTTGTGGAATGGTCATTGAATTTTGCCTGCTATGAAATGGTTAGGTCTTGGGAATGGTCACTTTGTATATCCTACAATAAAATACTCTTTCTGATCCAAGTTGATAGATCTATTTTGCTTATCAATCATTTTCAGTTTGATCAAATTTTCAGAGTTTCATACACTGTTTCATCTTTTGAAAATAAACTTCAGATATTGAGAACACTAGAAGAATTGCTTCAAGTTATAATTCGTTCCAGTTCAACATGATGAAGACACCTGTTAAAAGTTTTACTTACTGATCATTTTGTAGTAGACTCTTAGTGGGCTAATTCATGAATTGAATCAAATGGGGCCTTTTTATCAACCAGAAGTGAAACAAAAGAATTATTTCAAGACAGGATGCCTAAAAGCACTGAAAGTATCAGATAAAAGTGATAATGCTTCATGAAAAGTATTGAAAAATTGATGTATCGTAAATTGAAATGAAGTCTATACATATCATTATTTTGACTAATTCTTTGTATATTTGTTTTGTTTGGTGTGCTATCTGCAGCAATATAGAAGACATTTGTCGTGATGCTGGTAGTGTTGATGTTGAGGAGGATATTTTGCTTCGTAAGCATGGACTAGCTTTTCGTCATGCCCTTTATTAATCTTTCTTTGGGCCAAATTGAAAGAACACTGTACATCATCCATTTTAGTTCATCTCTTATCAGTTCTTGTTTTCTGGAAGAGTTGCAGATGGAACTGGAGCAACTCATACAATCTGATACAATGATTTACCAACCTTTGGTAGAAATGACACAGGTGATTACTGCAAATTTGAAGCTCTGTTGACAGCTTATAGAGCTTTTCCATCAGTTTGTGTATCCATGGTTTTTGCAGGACATAAGGAGTTGGATTTCTAGGAAGAAAAATACTTTAGAAAAGCACGGCTTCCAACACTATGCCTCATGGTGAGTTATGGTTTGGTTACTGTTCCTGCTTCAGACGTTAAGCAGACAGGCAAAAATAAACATGTAATGTGAACAGATCAAGTTTGTTGTCATCATTATCATATGTTGGAGCATTAGATAGCAAAAGGAGTATCCATTACTTCTTTTAATTAGTCTCTTTTGGATAATTGCAAGAGGTAAAGTGAGTCTACAAGAATTAAATTCTTGCATTTCCCTTGTATTTGGCTGGTAAATACTTGATGTAAACTTGACACATACGATGGTATGCTATGCTTTAGGATGTGGAAGGACTTTATCAATAACTCCATTTATCATCTTAGATAGGGAAATATTTTTTTTCATTTAAAGTGATACTGTGCCTTGATTTGTAGAAACTAAATTTTGCATGACTTTCTTTAGTGTACATCTTAGGAAAAGGGGACTTGGAATCAGTTATTCCCTTTAATTTTGAAAAGCATGACTTTATCAGTGTTTAGATTTTCAATTCTTGCCTGACTTTGGTTATGTCATGTTATAGGACATTGATTTCTAATTGTTCAGTGGCTATGAAAGATCTTAGGTTTTTGGCTTACTTGAACATTTATAGCTGCTGAAGTTGAATTATAAATCACAATTGTATATGGTGTAAAGCCTTCAAAGTTGACCTTCAACCACAATTATATATGCGAAAGAAAAGTACTCAAAATTCTACAGTTCGATTACAAATTAGACTAATCATATTTTCAAACAAGATGAAAGCTATTGCAAATACTTATTTAACTTGAAGTTTCTGACTCAAGGTGTTTCATGATCAAACATATGTCCAGGCAACTATGCTTCTGGTTGTAACTAGTTCTCCCAATCTACCTGTGCATGTTGTGTGTGTATAGTTACTTTGAGCAGCATATATACATTTATGTATCTCATCTGCTCCAACTTAATTTGTAGTTGGACTGGTGACAAGGCCTTGAAAGAGCTACAAGAAGCCAATGTGACAAAGCAATGCTTTCCAATTTTACAGGATTGTGCCTCGAAGGTAAATTCTTGCTGATGCTGGTCTGTTTAGATTTAAAATATTGAATGTAGATGGCTGGTTTTAAAAGTCCCATGTTGGTTGAGGAAATGGGTTGTGACCTCCTTATTTGGTCTTGAACAACCCTTCCCCATGAGCTAGCTTTTGAGGTTGAGTAATCATCATCATTCCACGACTTGCTTTTAAGATTGAGTTAGGCCCAAAGTCCATTTCTTCACAGTGGAGTGGTATATGAGGACATGTATAATTATCCTAATCATTGCTCTTGCTCTCACCCTAATCTCTTACCATTTTTCTTTCTTTCCCTGAAGGCCATCAGAGCTGCCTCTGAAGCTGAGCCAGGGACAGATCATTTGAGTGGCATGGCAGCATCTGTATTAGAAGGCACTGCACCTTATTTTAAAGTCTAAATTGCTTATCTTTTAAAGGAACTTTATATATATGTATATATATTGACTATGAGAATCATTCAGGACTAGTCTCCTCACTTAGTTACTTCTTCTCGGGAGATGGGCTTCATGTGTGTGATTATCAGCTAGCTTTACAACGCTATGTCAAGAAAAGTCCTGGTAAGTACTGATATCTGTGAGGAAGATGCTGGTTATTGTTCCTGTCTTCAGGAATACAAGGTCTCCAGTTGATCTTGTTAGACTAAATTGCATAGATCATTTAACCTATTTTGAAATAAATTTACTCAACGTCGATTACAGGTATTCGTAATGAATTGTAACAAGAAATGCTTTGCCTGCAATGATAGGTTTTTGTAATAAACATGTTTTTGAAGTGTTCTTTCTTCAAAAGAACTTGGTATTCTAAATGCTTTTGCAGGGCATAAAGGATCTGAGGGTTTATTGAAAATTTTCGTGATCACTAAAACAAGTAGAGATACTTGGTGATTCGTTCTGTTTTGTTCTGGTTCTGTTCAGTTAAAGGAGGTGAAAGCCCTTTCACTCCATCATGGGAACAGACGAGAAGGAAATCTCTATGCTTCAGACATGCCTATATAATGTGAAGCGCCTCAAGCTTCATCCACCATGCAAAAATAATAGGAAGAGAAACAGATGTTTCTGTTTGCTTGTGACATGATGACCAACACTGATGGAAATTCTACGAATATAGTCATAATGCTCTCATCCTTAGGCTAGAGAATCTAATTCATTTCTTGATCTTTGATTTGTTAGGCTAGAGAATCTAATTCATTTCTTGATATTTGATTTGCTTATGCTACTATAACTCTATGAATGTGCAGGAACTGCTGTTGGTAGCTGGACACAGACTTTTAGTTTGTGGTGCCTAAATCCAGCCGTTGTGTTCAGAGAAATTGCTGATTCTTGTCTATCAGTGATCCTAACATCAGGGTATGTTCAATATCATACTGCCTATGGCAACGTCATTCAAGCACTAATTATTGGTGGTGTTTTGGACGATTTAGACTATTCCTCCAATTTGAAGCAAACTTAATAACCTCTCAAGCAAAACTTTAAAGTCAGTGGTGTATGGTTTAGTTTCATGAATATTTAACATATGCCAAATGTTTCTTGTCTCTGTTTATTTTGCTTGTTTATTATCTATCCTTGCACATCCTTATTTTTGCCTTCTCCTGCCCTTGTACTTGTGGTACCTCTGAATGACAATTTTGAAGAACTGCTGCTGTTGAAGTTTCAGTTTTTTCTATGCTGTTGTGCATCATTACTTCTTTTATTACAGGACTCTATCACCAATGGATTCATTTTCCTCTGAACTTGGTGTTACTTTTGGTACTTCTTTGGAAGCTCCACATGTTATAGACGTTGAATCACAGGTATTTTAACATTTGACATTGTTTTGGGATCTGCTGGAGTTCGGATTTTAGTTTAAAGATAAAACTCAATGCCAGTCTATGAATTACAGTTATGGGCTGCTGTAATCTCGAGAGGACCAAGAAATTATCCGTTGAATGCAAGTTTCAAAACAGCTGATTCATATGCTTTTCAGGTATTATGTGATATTCATGCTAAGTTTTTGTTTGTCAATATGTACTTCCCTCCTTGTCTGACATTGCAGCATTCACCGTGAAGGATGCACTTGGCACATCTTTGGAGGAAATATGCAAGATTGTTCCAGGTGGTTGTCTAGCATTTTTTCCTAGCTATAAGCTGATGGACAAACTAAGCAGTCGCTGGAAAGAAACAGGTCAATGGGCCCGACTTAATGCTCGAAAGCCCATTTTCACTGGTAAGAAACATTAAAGGGTTGTTTGGTACAAAAATGAATAATGCAGGGATTAATAGTGCAGGGTATATTTTTATCAAGTGTTTGGTTCATTGGTTCCAACCCCATTTTGGAATTGGGTTAAAACTTTATAAAAAAATTCTTTGCCAATTATATCCTTGAATTATTATGTAATTAGGTTAAGGTAAATAATTGCTGGACAATATTATTTTTTTATGGCCTTCTAACTAGCTATGAGAAGAACAATTTTGTTGTCATGTTTGCCTTTTTTTTCACTTAAATTATTTGAGGATAAATAATTGTCATCTTAATTAGTAAATTGATTTCTTACAAAATGTCAATTTTCAATTTAAAAAAAAGATAAACTATCAACTTTTAAAATTGAAAAGATGTAAACAACAGTAAAACTGAATAAATCATCTACATTTACACATAAAAATTGCAAGTTGTAGTTTTAATATGTATGCAATTTTATAAATTGTTCAAATACAAATAATTAGAAACCACACAAATATTGCCCTTTTAATTAGTTAATGTTAAGCAACCACATTTCAAATATTGTATTAATTTGTATTGGATTTATGTAGTAACAAACAACTTTCTCTAAATAATTTGTAAGCTAATTTTATTAAATAAATTTACTTGTACAAATATAAAACATGAAATCAAGAAAATAAATAAAATGATTTGAGGGATATTTTTGTCTTTACATAGACTTATCCATGGTATTATATTCAATGTATTACTAATACCTCCAAATGGAAGGTATTAGTAATACACCCTATAATACCATGTAGGAGGTATAACTTATCCATGGATTAGTTATACATATGCCCAAATTCCTACCAAACATAATACTAAATAATACCATACATAATACATGGATTATTTATTTTAATGCGGCCTACCAAACGACCCCTAAGTCCATTCTTTGGACATCAGTAGGATATTTGCCTATAAACAGGCAGCAAGAGTGTAAAGATTATCCAGACTATTGATTGCATGCTTTTTCATTGATGCATTAGAAATTGATCATGTTTGTCAATTGTTGATCTTTGCTGGTGCAATTAATTTTTTTTTAATGGCTTTGTTTTTGTTTAGAGCCAAGAGGAGGTCAAGAAGAATTTGAATCAGTTTTGAAGGGTTACTACAGTTCTATTAACCAAAGGGAGAAACTAGTGATGGGAAGAAAGAAAAAGGCAAAAGGGTCAGCTCTTAGTGACGGTACTCCACTTGAAGTTTCAAATGAAAACAAGAAAGAGGGAGCTGCTTTTCTTGCTGTTTGTCGAGGAAAGGTACATCAGGGTTACTTCCACCTGTCAAGTTGTAAGATTTTTCTACTATTTGAATCATCACAAATGGCTATCTTGTGGAAGTTCAGTCCCATTACACTGTCTTTGTCCAACTGCCCACATGGCCAGTTGGCAACATTGATCTGATCACAACCCATCCTGCTCTTCTATGCTCCAAGTCGTTGCAATATGTAATTGCCTTATTTACAATGATCAACTTACAATATTAAGGGAGATTAGTCTCTTGCATTTGACATGACTTGCAAAATTCCAGTATGACTTGAATACAACTGTTTTAAAAAGTTAAATAACACTTCGCAAGAGACTAAGAAAAGAGCTAGGACTAACAAGAAAGGATTTTTATCTATGAATAAGCTTTTAGGCACTTTGTGTATCTCTTTCTCCACACTGGAAGCAAAGAAAATGAAATTTGGCCACTCACTTTTTTTGTAAGACTATTGAAGCTTGAAAAGATTGCACATCTGAATATGCAAGTGGGTTCTGCAGGTTTCTGAAGGCATAGACTTTTCTGACGAGAAGGCTCGTGTAGTTGTATCCTTTTTTCTGTCTTTGAATTATGTTACTATTTGTCTCCTCACTCCTGGAATCTGATAGAGGACGGCTGAAATTCTGGAAGCAAATCCTTATATTTCTATGCGAAATCTTATTGGTGGCAATTCTTTTTTATATTGCAAGTATATTTGCATGGGATTTTAGCTCCATAGTGTTCGGTTGTTGTTATTATTTTCTTAACTAAATTAGATAATTGTTGGGATTCCCTTTCCAAACATGTAAGGAAACTCTCTTCATATGAATTTCTATTGATTCATTTATGTTTCGGTGACTAATATGGAGCTCATTGTCCATCAGAAATGATATGAAAGTCGATCTTAAGAAGAAGTTCAACAATACTTATAAGTCATCCAAAAATCTTCTGAGTGGGAGTGAGTGGTATTGTAATCAAGCCTTCAGAGCTCTTAACCAGGCTACAGGTAGACAATGCCTCTGTTAACTTTCTAAACATTTCCGTGTTGAGAGTTCTTTTTTTAATCACATATATTGCAATTAGCAAGAGAATATTCTTTGACTTAAACAACATTGTTATCACATATATCACAGATTCATCAACTTGGTGTTTGTCATGGACCATCATATCATGGATACTCATACAATCTGTTTCTTTTTGCTTTCATTTCCATCATCATACGGCTTGGTGAATATAATGTCTCTCATCAGATTCAGCAAAATCCAGACCCCACTTGAGTATCTGCTAGGCTAATTTTGAGTCATTTTTGCTATCACAAAACAACTCAGATTCACATAGTTATTTAAAAGGAAAAGAGTTACCATAATCTGATTGTTAATTTTTACACAAACTCAGTTTGATCATTCCTTGTTCTGCACTCATTTTCCCTGAAAAATCCTCTTGATCCGGGACTTATTTCTTTGTGTGAGAGTTTGCCCTTTCTGTACATGTACTCTTGTGGCTTGGTCACGTGTCTATCTCTACGAGTTTGTATTTTCCTGTTGAATGTTATATGTTTAGGATGCTATCTATACAAGTAAAATATTTTGCAATGAATTGCTCCATATAGGGATGCCTGCCTCACTTCTTTGGATTCAAGTACAATGAAAAGCTACAAAAGTCTCTTTAATGATATATTTTTGTAACAAACAGATAACTTGAAATAGTAGTTTAAGTGAAGAGTGATGTCATATAAGATCATGCATATAGCTTCAAGAGGCAACTAATGTGTGCAATTTATTTCAAAAATGTTATAACACTACATATGGGATATGTAAGTATGGATCAAAATAAAGTGAATGGACATTAAAAAGTTCGGAGTATCACATTCCAAAGTTTTTACAAAAAGATTTCACTTAATTATCACTAACTGAAATTGAGAGAAATTTTGTGTTCAATCATGCCTATTTTCCTTCCATCCATTTCCAAGCCTCCAATAGCCATATATGTCTTAGTTATCAAAGACTTCCCAATAAAGTTTATCTTTGTTGTATGATTAGTTTGTAATCCACCAAATTCTCTTAATGATGTTAACATATTGGTTATGATATAATTGTTTTTATGCTTTGTAGGTCGTTGCATTCGCCACAGATTTGACTATGGAGCTGTGATCTTTTTAGGTACTTATATTATTCCTTATTTGATTGCGTAAAAGAAAAAGAAGAGAGATTTTTTCTTTGCCAAGTTGGTGAGTGAAATGTATTTCTTATTGCTGTATAAAAACTTCTAAGTGCTCATATTTTGTACTTAGAGGACACATTCTAACACTCATATTCAACTTGGAGCATATAGATCAACAACATACTGCTGAAATCCCACATGTGGGATTTGGGGAGGGTACAATGTAGACTTTATCGTACCTCACAAAGGTAGAGAGGTTGTTCCAGATGGATTCTTGGCTCAAAAGGGAAGTATCCTACACGTCCTTGTAAGAAAGGAGACAACAAAGTAGCAAGACACCAAACAAATGCAGCAATGAATGATAATACACATTGATGAATAAGAAACTATGTGATAACTATGCAACATCGGTTTGTATATTTATCAAAAAAAAAAACTATGCAACATTCGGTTACCTGCTAACTTTCTATCCTAATCCTCGACCTCAATAACTTCCTACCTCAGGTCATGTCCTCAATTAGCTGAAGTTGCGACTTGTCCTATTTAATCACCATGCTTTAATTCTTCTTCAGCCTATATTTACCTCTCTAATTTCTTGCTGCAACTAACCTCTCTTTACCGACGCTTCACACCTCCTTTTCACATGCATGAACCATCTCAGTCTCTCTTCCCTCATCTTGTCACTGATGCCACTTCCACTTTACTCTGTATAACTTCGTTCCTAATCATCTCTCTGAGTATGCACATTCATCTAAACATCCTCATCTCCGCTACCTTTATATTTCTGAGCGTGAGTGATCTTGATTGACCAACACTCTACCCTGTACAACAATATTGGTCTAACCAAGCTCAATTCTCTCTTCTTGCCCGTATACTGCTCCAACAATCTCCTTACAAAATGGATTGTTTATGTAGTTGATTACCGCGGTATGAATCCAAATTGGTTCGCAGAGATAGACATACTCTTCCTCATCTTCATCTCGACCACCCCCTTTCAGACTTTCATAGTGTGCTATAGTAGCTTGATACTGCTATAGTTATTCTAGTTTTGGATCTCACCCTTGTTCTTGTACAGCATAACCATTCTACTCCACATCCTTTCCTCTGGCATTTTATCTGTCCTAAATATGACATTGAACAACCCAGTCAGCCACTCCATACCTGCCTCGCCTGCTTTCTTTCAAAAATCCACGGGGTTCTCCTCTGGCCGAGTCTCTCTTCCACTTCTTATCTTACAAATAACCCCCTTAACCTTTGCAACCTTTATGCATCTACAATACCCAAAATCTCTACGTCTCTAAGCACCCAATTGTAAGTCTCTTCTTGGAGCATATAGATCATGTGACCCAAATTTGTCAAAAATAATAATAATTGGAATTTGGTCCTTGAGTGCTTTAGTGCACATATTCACCAACTAACCTTTTGAAGTAACAAGATTTAGTGGAGACTAATTAGCAGTCTACTTTCTAACCTAGTGACAATAATTTTGATATTCTTGACCTTCTCATAGAACATTGAGTTAGAAGTGATGTGTGTCACAATTTTGACTATTGCAAATCTTTATATGACTTTTCCAAACTTCAACTTTTCAAGTATATCTGAATGACTCAACAAAGTTTTCATGGCATGCCATATATGAAACAAGAAATATTACATTTTCTTGAGATAGAGTGATAGACTATTTTATGGCTTGTTTTTTCCTCAGACTGAGCATTTCAATCATTCATCACACGATCTTTTTTTCAGTAATCTCGACTAGAACTCTCTCTCTCTCCACCCTCCTTTTCCACTTTTTTGAGTACTTCTAATTGGTTACAATTTGTTGCAATGTTTTGAGAAAGAATACATTACTGTCTTTGATAGTTTTGAATAATTTGATGATTTTCTCTTTCCTTGCTTATTAGTTGTGTTATCTCTATATCCAATATATTTCTTCTTCTTGCATGTAGATGAACGTTTCTGTGAGGCAAGGAATAGAGCTTATATTTCAAAGTGGTTGCGGAATTCAATAAGACACCACAGCAGCTTTGACAAGTCAATGGAAGAGCTGAAATCCTTTTTCAGAGATGTCAAAGTACTCATTGACAACCTTTAAAAATCATGACAGCTATTGTTCTCTGCATCAGTGCATTGTATTTGTTGAAGTTTTCCCAATATTTTTTCTCTTTTTGATTCTTTTTAGTTATTAATTCAAACCTTTTCTAAAATCTTTAAACAGGAGCGTGTTGGCAAGGCAGCCAGTTCCATACAAAGTTCTGTTGTTGATGTTGAAGAAAATGCTTTTGTTACCAAGAGTATAAGAATCAGGCAGAAATACCAGGAGTTCAGCACTTCTGATGTGAAAGGGCTTAAGGAGGAAGAAAATGGTGCATTGATTTGTCAAAAAGCTCCGCTCCTATGTCAATCTTCATGTATTGATACCATGTATAATACATCCTCCACTAAAATGAGAATTGATGCCCCTCATTTGATGTTAAGTGATGATGATGATTCTGATGGTCGCAGAGGTTACATTGATTTGGAATGTGATTCAGCATTTTCATCTAGGTGAAACATGAATCTTTAGTGCGTTGTGTCTGCTAATTTCATTCCTTTCATTCAGTTCAAAAAATTCTGCGAGCTCACTACTGAATTCCTATTTGCAGGTTCTCCGGAGATCCATTGATAGTTTCACACGCTGCTGACCCTCAATTAACTATTGTAAAAGAAACTCCTGCTACTGATGACATTATTCACATTTCTAGTCCTCAATCCTTCTCCAAGGATGAATATTCTTCCTCCACCATCATTCAAGCATCTAGTGACCTTTCAGACCACTTGGCAAATCATCCTACAACTCAACAAAAAACTGAGTTGGGTTGTAATTCTCCCTGTTTGACGATTACTCCTCAAAAAGATGTCTATACAAAAGCAAACATGATATCATTTGATGTTGAATCGCCAATTAGCTCGAGCGTCAATTCTCATGTCGGGAAAAGGATAAAACGTCTGGATTTGTCATCCATAGTTCATCTTGATGCAGAAGAATTTGATACTCAGATGACCAAGATTCCTATGCATGATAGTTCTACATGTAGATCAAGGAAGATTAAAGATGCAAACCAGATGATTGATTCTAGTTCCAGAATTAGTCAGTTAGACAGGGAACTGGAGAAGTCCAAATCTCCTTGGTCATCAGTCCTGAATAACTGTGAGACATCAGTCGTGCAGTCTAATCTTGCTATGTACGAAAGACTACAGATATTTTGCTCACTTTGCAACAATCCACTAGGGCTTCCTCAGAATAATTTATTTGTTATGTGCTCACGAACTTTGTCCACAAAAACTCACTTAAAATCTCTTTGGAAAGGTCAACCAGAAACCCCTGATCCGAGCAGACATAGTATACCTATTCTCATAGCTAACTTTTCGTCTGTTGATCAACACATCTATGAAACAACCAGTGACAATTTATCTGTTCAGGGGATTTGGTGCAAAGAAGATGGCTGTGTTTTCAAAACTATTTTCTGTCCCTTCTGTGTAAATTCCAGACATTGTCTTGGTGTACAGGTCATGGCTTCTGATGCGTCTAATGTCCAGTTACTAAATAAGGTATTTATCTTTCCACCACTACAGTACTGGTTGCAGGGTTTTAACTGGTTCAGTTTCTATCCTAAAACTTGAACATTTTCTTTTGATATTTTCTGTTTTCACCATTTGTTTTCTGTGAAGGTGCTGCTTTATTGTGATTGCTTGGTGATAAAGGAGCCTGAAGCATCAAGAAAGGTCAGTGAGTCCTTTGCTCATTCCTTGGAACAAGTGACCTAGAATGTGTGTGGGAAATAATTAAGCAGAGTTGAGTATCATATAATCTGTCTATTGATAGGTCAATGCATCATGACTTAGATAGTGATCATGCAGATCAAGGGCTAATACATGATGTTGCCTGTGAACTAATGTAGTTCTGAATCATTCACCTCTAAACCTGTAAATAGACCATCCAAGTTTCCGTTTATCTCAATTCTGTTATGGATCTATTTCTTTGACGTCCATGAAGATATTGCGTAGCATATACATTATTTGACCCAGTCTTTACTGGATTCATCCTGTTTCTGCATACGCATGAAACTTAATTCCTCAACTGCCAGTAAACCTACTGTTTGAGGCTGGATATAAACTCTAGGTAGAAGAATGCTTGATTATTTGCTGCCTAAAATCCCTGCACCAGAGATACTAATCTCCATCTAGTTACTTTGGAACTAGGCTGATGTGTTGATATGCTACTTTTTGGTGCTTTCTAACAAATGAAACAAACAGCAAAAGTTTCAGTGGATCACTAGATTATTTATCCTGTTAAATTTGTGCCTTTTTTTCCTTCTCTCTTACTGATGTTGCCTTTATGGGCTCAATTTAGGAATTATCTCCATCCAACAATTCAAGCTCTGACAGAGGTCTTAATTCCATTGAGAGTTTCACATTTACTCCTGAACAGCAGAACCTTGGAGGATGGAGAACTACAAAATCCAAGGTTAGGACATGTATATAGTTTAACATTGTTAACCTAATGGTCTATTGGAAACAACCTCTCTACTTTGAGGTAGGGGTAAAGTCTACGTACAGACCCCACTTTGTGAGACTACATTTGATATGTTATTGTTAGCCTAATATCTATATTCATTAAATAAACTAATCATGCAGATGCGATTACCAAAGAGGAGCATCTCATCTAGTGCACATAGGTGATGCAGAACGATTTTTGGAGTTCACCAAATAGATGATTCTTACTGAAAATGCTTCCACATTATAAAGACTCAATTTCTAGGACAGATCACAAGTTGCCTACAATATGAACTGTTTATGCAGTTCGATACAAGATGCTATTAACAGTCAGTGATCACTTTTGTGTTAGGCAAATAATTAGATTCCAGTTTTTCTCCATTTATTTTGACAGGAAATAGAGTGTACATATTGATCAGATACAGAAAATTGTGTCCTATATAATTTATTCAAGTTGTGCAAAGATGAGATATCATGTTGAAGGCGAATCACCAACTAAAACAAGTTTTTGTGGATGATCAATATTGATCGTCTTATTGTGACTTGTTCATTGAAGTAAAGATTGGATTTTGTAATAGATGATATTCCTTGTATATGTTCCTTTCAATTGGTTTGTCAAGACCTTGACTCTTGTATCAATATTGATATCCCACTTGAAAATGTAATGTAAACTTGACTATGTGAAAAAACACATTATAAAAGATATATTGATTAAACATTAGAGATTATTTGACCTTGTGATTTAAATATTAGAACAATCAAAAGGAAGAAGCTTTTTCAAATTCATCTTATGAGTCGGTCATCCATTGCTGACATTTATGGTTTAAATTCATCTAATGAGTTAGGCCATCCATTGCTGAAATTTATGGTTTAATGTTTAACAAGAAGATACTTGGATCAAGTAATAACCGTTTACATTATTCTACAACAACAGCTAAATCAGAAGTATTTTTTCTCATAACCGACGAGACCATGAACCCCTCCTTCAACTTGTGCTGCTCCTGTTCGGACCTGAAGAACCAGAAAGAGAGTTAAAAGTTGGATCCCAATGAACTATGGGAGCTAAGATGATTATGCTCTTTCAATTCGTTACAATATAATAATGACCGAGGACGAAGATACAAACCTCTAGCCTCAATGCGCCTGATCTTAAGAGATGATGAGCAGACTGCAGTGAGGAAGCACCTAGATCCTGGAATCCTTGTTTTACAGCTTGCATTGTATAAGGAACGAACTTCAGAGCAGAGCCCTTATCGGCAACTGAACCAACGACACCCTGAGCAATCTTTAGTTTAGCAGTATCACCCAAGTATCTTGCATCGCTCCCTTTTGTCATTGCTTCCAAGGATCCCATACCTCGATACTTTTTCACACGGAGACCATTCTATCCTTGCCAAAAAGTTGACCAAAGTTAATAATAGCACTAAGGGAACATTTGAGTAGAATACACTTGCAAATATGAACACAGAATGACCAAGGTACATTTAGCCTCGCAATACAAAACTTACAATCAAACTGCTTTGTTGATGAGATAATCAAAACTCTTGACACAGAAAGCCAGATATACAACGATTGCCCCTCAAGTTAGGCATTAAATTCTTGCTTCTGACCAACTGACATTTCGTGCCAACTTTGAGGGGCTATGTGTTTGGCCTTAAACACAATCAAGTGAAACACCACACATCATCTGACATTCATAGTTAATTATTTTTGGGAAGAGAAAAAAGGAATGAGTACAAACAATGATTTCTTAAGATGGAGAAAGTACGATCTTAAGAACCATCAAAAACCATTTCTTAGCTTCTCATTCTATCTTCAACATCCAACTGTTTTCCAAAGACTGGTTTCAATTTTGAGTACAAACAATGATTCTTTTTTGGAGAAATGTGATGGTAAACAACAAAGAATAATTCTTAGTCTTCTAGTTTTTTGTTTTTCAGTCTTGCTATGCATTCTTGATTTAACTTTTCAATACATAATTTAAGTGATAATGCCCCGAGTTCTCATACCTCCAACGGAGAATTTTCAATCAAGGGAAGTTGGATAGGCAACAATATGCTAAGCCTGCAGGTTCTCCAGATACAGCTAAAGCACTCTTTAGGTGTATCCTGGAAGGAACTTTTGCAGACAGAGTATAAAAGGATTGAGAATCCTGTAGTACCTTATTTTCATAAGTGCCAGGAGCTTCATTGCTTCCAGCCAAGAAGCTCCCCATCATGACAGTTGATGCTCCAAGCGACAATGCCTTCACGATATGGCCAGAATTAGAAATCCCACCATCAGCGATAACAGGGACACCATGCTGCTCAGCAATTGATGACACCTTGTAAACAGCAGTCGCCTACAGAAATTGACAGAGAAATAAGTTCCGCAGAAAGAGAGAAAGCAAGTTTAAATTCAGTTGTCAGCCAGCGAGTTCCCTGTATGCTTTCAGACTTCGTTCCTTCCCAATCGTTTTACTTATGCTCATGTCTATATTCATAGTGACTATCTTCGTATTCAGTTATACAGAGGGAAAATTAACAAAATAAATCAACTACAATGAACTTATAAGAAAAACAATCAACAAAACAAAAACCAGCTCCATCCAATAACTCACCTGTCCACGGCCCACAGCACAAACTTCTTGAGTGGTACAGATGGACCCGGATCCCATCCCGACTCTCAATCCATCTACATCCTGCTTAATCAAGTTCTCTGCTTGGTACTTGGTGACTATATTTCCACCAATCACATCCAAGTGAGGGTAAGTATGTTTCACATACTTGATCATATTAATCTGATATTCCGAGTTCCCTTGCGAGCTATCTATCACGAGAGCGTTAATCCCAGCTTTCACCAAATGCTCCAGCCTCTCTTTATCTGAATCCCTCGTCCCTATTGCTGCCCCCACCAAGAACTTCCCGTCTGTCCCTAAAGACGGCAAACCCAATTTGGGAAGCGAATTCATTCTCTCCAAGTCAGTAGCTGTCACCAAATTGACCACTTCCCCGTCCTTGTCATTCACTAATGGTACAAAGTCCAGCTTTTTAGATGCAATGTAGCCTGCTACATCCTCAAAAGTATAGCTTGAAGGCAGAGTAACCGGAGAAACGTTCATGTAATCAGAAATTCTAGCTTCCTTATCACTCAAACCCTTCCAAGTAGACTTACACACAACACCTAAAACTTTGGATTCCTTAGTTCCTGACTCGGTAACGAAGATACAAGGAGAGTTACCAAATTCATCAGCAGAATGGATGGAATCGGAAGGCGAAGCAAAGATCAAATCCGATGAGAAAGGGATTTGATGAGACTTAGCAGCACGGACTATAGAAGCTTGTTGCGAAATGGTGTTGTTGTAGTGAACGATACCTATACCGCCAAGCGCCGCCATTCCAATGGCCATGGAGGTCTCAGTGACGGTGTCCATCGGAGAAGCTACGCAAGGGATGGAAAGGGAAATGTTGCGGCTGAGCTTAGTAGAGAGGTTGACGGCATCGGTAGGGAAGTCGATGAAGCCAGGGAGGAAGATGACATCATCGTAGGTGTAGGAGTAGCCTTGGTTGAACAACTTATCTGCTGAAAATCCGTCGTCGTTCATGCCGGCGGCGATGCGGCGGCAATGGCGGCGGTAAAGGCTTTTTAGGGTTTTGCTGGTCAATAGAATTTCAAGGTGAAATCAAATAGTAAGTGATAGAAGGGAGGTATTATTATTGGAAGAGTGAAATATTTAATTCTATTTTTTTAGAATTTTTTTAAAAAAAAATCATGAATTATTAGGTATATTTACTTATTTAGTCATAATACAAGTTTAGCATAATATATAGCCAGTTAATAATATAACAATTAATAATTCTAGTAAATTATTTAAATTTTAATTAGTTGAAAAATAAATATACTCCAAACAAAAAATTCAATAATTGAGTGAAGAAAAATAGTACTAATTTTACACTTTAAAAGAAAGTCCATTTTATATATATAAAAAATTCCTACTCATTAATTAGTGGGATTTGTCATATGTGGTGGTCTTATTCACAGAAGGAAATGGACTCATGACTCATTTATAATCCACTATTAACAAAAATATAAATCTATTTTATGATCTTATAATAGTACATTGGATGTATTATAAAAAAAGAAGAAAATAATATGTTCCTTTCAATTTATGTATGATAGTGTTTGACTTAATGAAGATAAAGAACAAACTTTTTGAAGTTTTGTAATTTATAACTAGGTCATTTATAGTAATGAAGATGAAAGAAATTTGTGATAAGGTGGAAATGATTCTGGTGAAGGACAAAGAAATGAAAATGAGATTGAGATGGTTAAGATATGTAAAAAGGAGATGTATGAATGTGTTAATGTAAAGGTATGAGATGTTTGTTTGAATGATTTCACAAGGGGTAAAACTAGGCCGATGAAGTAGTGAGAAGAGGTGAGTACCTATGATATGATACAGTTTTAACTTAATGAGGACATATGAGGTTGTGGATGATACATATCAGATAGAAAGTTAGTAGATAGTATATCGATGTCTCATTTTTTCCTTCCATATTGGTAGTTATCAAATTACTCTCGTAGTTTTTTGTGCTTTGATTAATGTAAAGTTTTGTTGTTTCTTGTACTTTAATTGTGTAATATTTTGTTGTAATTATCAGAATGATTTGTCATATTTTCTATAGTATTTTATCATAACTTATTCATTGTTGTTATTTTCTTTTTCATATTGTTTTGTGTTTTTTTTTCTTGAATTGAGAGTCTATCAGAAACAACATCTTTGTCTCCAAGATAGGAATAAGGTCCGCCCCACTGAAAACAATATGAGTAACGATGAAATGAGAAGAAGAGGTGCCTCAAGTACCCCATTTAAAAAGAAGGGTCGATGATTTTGGGCCTGTAACTTTCATTGTTGACATATGTTAAATATTTTTAAATATGTTATAACAAGCATCAAATATGTAATTAAAGACAATAAAGAATAAAATTAATATTTCCAAATATATTTTATGTTTAAAATAAACTAGATAGATAAATTGTATGAAAATAAATAAATGAAACATCTAGAATGACATAATCATAATCTTGCAATGCAACATCTTAACAATAAAATATATAGGATGAAGTAGAAGGAGGAGAAAGTGATTGATTTTAAATCAACATTAGGTGGGAAATTTGGTCAATTGACCCTTAAATAAACATCAACAAAAAAGTGACTTAATACCCAACTCACTTTGAATATTTTTGACAAATGTTCTCTTCACTTCATTTTCTCCACACTTTACTTCTAAGAAAGGAACAAACCAAAAAACTCATCTACACTCTTCCTTTGCCTTTTGCTATTATTCTCTTATCAGAAGCAAATTTAAAATCTTTTAACTTTATGAGTTTTGAAATTCGCGATAACAATCTCAGATACTAATAATTGAGTAAGGTATTTAATATTTTAATACACCTAATAAATTTCTTAATATATATATATATATATATATATATACATAGTTCGAATTAAAGCTATCAAATTTCACTGAATTCATATGGCATATTACTGGCACCAACCACCATTAGTTATGTACAATGTTTTACGTATGATTAAATGAGTTAACAATCAAAACATATTTAAATTATCATTTTTTGCGAGTTTTACAGGTCAATCATTGCTATTTTGTTCCTTTTTTCCTTTCATATGAATTATGACCATCTATGTATTAAAAGACACATAATTGAGTAGATAGTGATAGTTCGTATTAAAAAATAGAACAGCTGATATTAGACTTAATCAATGTCGAGATATGTTTTAATACATAAATAAAGATAATTCAACTAGGAAAAGGGAACATAGAACTCGCAAAAAGGTAATAATTCAGATGTATTCTTGATTATTAACTTGAGCTAAAGTTATTAGATTCTGTCCAACCGGTACTTAAAAGCCCACCTCTGCCCTTGACACCAACAGCCATTAACTACCCCACTCCCACCCCCATCCCACCTCCAAATTACCCAATATTAGAGGCACTCATTTCTTTGTCCTCCATTTCTAGCACAAAGAACAAGAACCTACCTTCACTACACACAAAGTTCCCAACTTTCTTTGATCTTTCACCTCAAATCTTGAAATGGATATCAAATTTTTCATGTTTTCATTCATTCTAACCTCACTTTTCCTCATTCTTATCTACATACCTACCCAATTTTCCCACTCACCCATCACCATTTTCAAGCCAAAAAAACCCTTCATAATCTCAAATACCACAACTAACCCTTACCCTGTAAAATTTGCTTACTTGATCTCTGCTTCTAAAGGAGATGTACCAAAGCTAAAAAGACTTCTTTTTTCACTTTACCATCCTGGTAATTTTTACTTGATTCACTTAGATTTAGATGCACCAGAAAATGAACACCAAGAAATTTCAAGATTTGTGAATGACAACTCTGTTTTTGGAGAAATTAATAATGTTTGGGTTGTTGGAAAGCCAAATTTAGTGACATATAGAGGACCAACTATGTTAGCTACAACACTTCATGCAATGGCTATGCTTTTGAAGATTGCTAAATGGGATTGGTTTATTAATCTAAGTGCCTCTGATTATCCTTTAGTTACTCAAGATGGTATGGTGAGTGACTTTTTTTTTGTGATTTTTGACTTAAAGATTGCATTTTTATCAATATATTTGTAAAAAAAAAACATTTTTTTCATGTGGGGTTTTGAAATTTCTGAGAAAAAAACTGTTTTTTATGATTCTTGATTTGTGTTTGAGAGATAGATTCAAGTGATTAATCTTTTTTTTTTCACATTTTTTTTAAAATTAAAATGGTTAAAAGAATGTTTCTGAAAATGTGGTGAAGAAAAATAGTTAAGTTTTGTTTATTATATACTACAATAAAATCTATGAATTCTTTCAAACATTTTTTTTTTTGTCATAATGTATTTTTTAACTTTTTTTGTTTCATGATCTCAGATCTGATCCATGCCTTCTCTGACTTACCAAGGGATCTTAATTTTGTACAACACACTAGCCACATGGGGTGGAAACTGTAAGTCCTTTTTTTTTTTTCTAAATTTTAAATGACACAAATAACTATCATTTTTTCACGAGTTTCACGCATCAACTGTCGGTTGTTTTATAGTGATAGTGTAGGAAAAGAGAACACTTTATCAGCTTCGAGGTGTGTTTTAATACATAGATGGTGATAGTTCAGGTAGAAGCATGGAACAACTGATAGTTAGGGTGTGAAATGATTCGTTAAGAAGTTGTGTTTTTAATCATTAACTTATTTTAAATTGTTTATTTATGAAATTCCATAGTACATATCAATTAAAAAAAATTCTTAATTTATTTAGGAATAAGAGAGGAAAGCCAATTATTATAGATCCTGGTCTTCATACTCTAAACAAATCAGAGATTTGGTGGGTTATCAAGCAAAGAAGTCTTCCAACTGCTTTCAAGCTTTATACAGGTTATTATTTATCTTTATCTTCTTTTAATTTTTTATTCATTATTTGTGGCTTTAAAAATTCTAAGAGATCTTTATAATATAAAGTACAAAAAGTGAAAGACAGTACATGTGAGATGTGAACTCTTGAAGAGAGCAAAAGACCACAAAAAGAGGGACTAAAGTACTTTTACTTTGATTTAACTACCTATATCACCTAGATGAGGAGCAACTTTTTCTCCTAAGACTATCTATTACGTTGCTCGGATCCTTCAAAAATATTGTTGCACTCCCACGCGTTGAATCTTTAAAAAATGCATACATTTGGTTCCCTCCAAAAATATTGTTGCATCCACCTGTGTCGAATCCTCCAAAAATGAAGGGTCACACCCAAGATAATCATAAAATAAGTTATGTTGCTCGGACCCTCGAAATTGTTGCAACACAAACTTGTATCAGATCCTCCAAAAATGCATAGTTTTTGAAGGATCCGACACGCACCTCATTAGGGAAAAGCTAATTAACACAAAAGGGTAAGTAGTTGGAGAATGGACTAGTGGTTACTGGTTTGCTTATATAGATTTGGCAAATCCTCCCCTTGACAACTACAGTAGTTTTTAGAGTTGAATTAGGCTCAGTGTCTATATCTTGGCATGGTATCAGTGTAAGACTCATCCTAATTATCATTTCCGATGTTGAGCCCCCCTATCAAATTGGTCATGCTCCATATATCCAGCCTAGGGTGGAAGGGGATCAAGAGTCTTACATCGGTTCTTTACAGGATGAGTGATAGTATTAAAAAATAATTAAAAAAAATAGTTTGAGCTACATTATCAAGAAAATGCACATGTTAATGCCGTTAACACATGCTTTGCACTTGGTTTAAGGGACATTTAGTTCAAGTGAGAATTTCTACATTATTTTGATGGCATCTTGATTCTGCTAATTTTTGAATTTGTGTGTAAGACTCAAGATTTGCTTTCAATATGGCTTCTTGTGTCTTCCGTTGTTTTCAATATGACTTCTTTATGACTGTATTTTTGATTTGTTTTACTTGAGTCGAGGGTCATGTTGAAATTTGTTAACAACTACGAACACAAAATCTATTTGCAGGTTCAGCTTGGACAATATTGTCTAGATCCTTTGCTGAATACTGCATAATAGGCTGGGAAAATCTTCCAAGAACTCTACTTCTTTACTACACAAATTTTGTGTCATCTCCAGAGGGTTATTTCCAAACAGTCATATGTAACTCTGAGGAATACAAGAACACCACAGTGAACCATGATCTTCACTACATTACATGGGACATTCCCCCGAAACAACATCCAAGATCCCTCGGTCCAAAGGATTACAGGAGAATGGTCTTAAGCAACAGGCCATTTGCTCGGAAGTTCAAGAACAACAACCCTGTCCTTAATAAAATTGATCGCGATCTTCTTAAAAGACGAAATGGACAGTACTTCTCAGCTGGAGGATGGTGCTCCAATGACGATGCTCGAGGTTGTTTGAACCTACAAGTTGAGAAATATGGCGTTTTAAAGCCTGGAACGGGTGCAAGAAGGTTGAGAACTTTATTGAAGAAATTGGTATCTGCACCACATTTTGCTAAGAGGCAGTGTAGATAAGTTGGAAATGAAAATACTTTTGTTGGAAATATATAAAATAAATTGTGGAAGAGGATGTAATCATCCTAAGTCAATTCTTGATAATTGTCACAGTTCATTAGTTTGTATGAGAAAGAAAAATATAACTCAGGAATATTATTTTAGGTGTGTGTACATCCATCCTACGTTCCCTAGACCCCACTTGTGGGATTATACTGTGTATGTTGTTGTGTGTAGGTCTGAAGTCCAGTTTTATTGGTCTTCTTTCTTCACACAGTATGAATCATAATTCATGCTATATGATTGAAGATTAGAGGTGCTGTATGATCATTGCTGGTATTATTTCTGTGATCTGTTGTTTTCTGCTCATTGCTTAAGGGGAAAGAATTATGATGAGAGTGACTACATGGCAATAATTGTCCCTCAACACAACATATTGCATGTTGATTCTTGGATTGTAATGTTTGGGTGGGGGGTTTCCAATTTTATGTATCATATATTTCAATTATACTTACCATCACTTAAGCACTAAAGATTTTGAGCAAGAGTTTTGGTTTATTATCACAACTCAACCTGTATATCGTTAGAGCTAGAGGTTTAACTTAACTCAATGTTTTTCACATGGGGGTAGATATATGTGAAGAATCACAAAATGTACACAATATTAGAGTCTGAATCCATAATTTCAAAAGTAATGTGAGTTCACTTCTAAGACCTTTAAAAGTCGAAACCATCAAGTTTAAGTCCTGGATTTCAGTACATTCAACTCATGCTAGAACTGCAATTATACTTTCACAAACTTGCAGTTTTACTTGTGTATATATAAACATGAACATACAAGTTTGTCTTCATACAACGACATAACGAAAGGGAGAAGTTTCTCATCACATCATTCCATTTCTCTTGTAATTTTAGAGACCACTAAACATTCTGCCTGCAGGAACTCTTACATTGCGATCATTGTTGCTCCAACTAAACCAGTGTTCGTGTCCCCCTTGGTTAGTCGCTACAAGCTCGGCGAAAAGGGAAGTAAAAAGAATAAAAAGTAAAATGGCAAACACAATGTTACTATGACAATTATTTGAAACAAAAATGAGCAATATATTAACACATGTGATGTACCATTGAACAAGATCCTTGATAAGTCATTCTGTATCCTTTAACAAGTTGTTAATCATAGTTACCAAAGGAACAGTTCCCTTGGTCATTATCTCTAATCTAGAAGTATTTGAAGCATGAGAGAAAAGGGACAGCCCGAAAAACATAAGTTCAGGAAGTAACAGCCGAGATGACAAGAAACCATGCCAATAACGAGGTTCTAGATCAAAAAAGGCATCGAAAAACCTTCTTGTAGCGGATAAATCAAGCTTCAGAAGAATATCCATACCAAAGCAAAAGAATTCTCTTTGACGTCTCCTTTCTATGGGCCACAAATCTTTCCAAACAGATGCCGATAACTCATTACCTAGATGGTCCTTATCAGAACCAAGGTACTGAATTATTGCATTAGCAACGACAGGAGCTGCAGCTAAGGTCCTTGCTACCATATAGCCCGTTGAAGGATGAACCATACCAGCAGTACCACCGATTCCAACTACCCTCTGAGGTATTACTGGAAGGGGGCCTCCCATTGGAATCACACAATGCTCATCTTCTTCAATGCTCTTGACTTTTATACCCAAGTGACTCAAACGAGCCACCATTCGTTCTTGAATATCATCCATACGTAATCCAGGACGAGCTACAAGGGAGGTTTCTTCAAGAAATATTCTGTTCGATGAAAATGGCATGGCATAGAGAAAAGTTGGAACTTTTCTGTTCCTCTCCTTCAGCTCCATATTATTATTAAGATGGGAATCTCGCCAATCCATGAAAAGCATCTTACTTGTATCGAAGGGATGTTCCTCTACTTCCGCCAATATTCCATAAGCTACTTGATACCCAGGATTATATGGCTTATCATACTGAACAAGACATCTAGAGAATCCCGTTGCATCAAGAACCACTGTTGCCTGAATAGTCACACCATCACTGCAAATCAGCATAGATTTAGCTTCCTCATGAATTACTTTTATAACTTTTGCTTGGTGGAATTTAACACCATTTAGTATGCATTTCTGCATCATTTTCGACTTCAGCTGTTTCCTATTAACCCTTCCATAAGGTCTATCAAGATTCTTAGTTCTATCATCATCAACATACACAACAGCACCTGACCAGGTCTCATCAAGGCAATCCAACAAATCCATGGCCTCGAATTCATCCACCCAAACACCATAATTATTAGGCCATATCAATTTAGGGGACGGGTCAATTGAGCAAACCGATAATCCAGCCTCCGAAACCTGCTGTGCAACAGCAAGCCCAGCAGGTCCACCACCAACCACAGCTAGATCTACAACAAGCCCCTTTGAAGGGTCATACATAGGAAGCTCAAAATCAAGATTTTCCTTCTTTATCTCAGGTACAAGCTCCAAAAGAGTACTACTCCTAGCTTTAACACAAACCCCTCTTCTCCAATTCTCACAAAATTTCCTAAAACCAAGCTTCAGAGGCTTTACAGAGCTAAAGGAGCTACCTTTAACTGAAAATCCATGAAAGGGTTGCAGAAACTCAAGCTTATTTGGGGTTTTCAACAATATATCCATATTTTCAAACAAGGGTTCAAAGGTTCTTGAACTTACAAACAGGATTTCAAGAATTCCCTACTTTTCAATTCTAAACATCAAACTAGAACCAATAGTTTATCTAATAATCTGTAAAATGAAAAAGGTCTTTAGAAATTTCTCAAGATTTGCCATATAAAAAAGAATTACAATTGACAGAAGCTAATACTGGAGTAAGTGCTCACCATGAAGAGTAAAAATTTACAGCAAAAATCTGGTGCTGGTGAAGGATATGCTTGTGGTGAACATGAGTATGGCCTTTTGAAAAATACAATAAAATTGTTATCTTTTTCAATTATTTTGGTGTTGTGTGTGTGTGGGGGGGGGGGGGGGAGGGGAGGACCTTTTTTTTTAATTGAATTTTTGGATATGAATTATATTTGTAAAATAAGGAGTAATATTTTGAAGTATAAGTTAAAATTAAAATTGTATTTGAGTGTGAAAATTGATTGACCTTCCATCATTGGGAAAAAGGGTACATATTGGCATATGTACAATCCCATAAATACAATAAATTTGATCATAAAAAAAAGGTTTTAAGAGAGTCAATATCTATCTTAATCATAAGGATGATCGAATTGGTTAAACGTGAGAGTCATCTTACTCATGAGAGTAATCAAGTTGATTAACGCACAGAGTCACCTTAATCATATAAATGGTTGAATTGATTGATCACGAGAATCGAATCTCTACGTGTACTTTCTTGATCGAGCTCGTTTCATGAGGCTTTCCTAGTCAACTAACCATCAAGGACTATGGTCCCATTTTTTCCCTAAGCCATAAAAAATCTTGAAGAATTAATACTTCCACCTTTCATCTTCTTCTTCATTTCTCAGTCCACAGTTACCACTAAACCCCCTCTAAACCCCATCAAAACGACACCGTTCAAATGCTCCGTTCCTTCACTTCCAAACGCTCTCTCCAATCCCTTCTCCACCACCACCACCGCCGCTGCCGTCAGAATCCCCAATTCCCAATCTTCAATCCCCGTCTCTTTTCATCTACTCCGGGACCTCCGTCTTCCGACGCCGAGCTCCGGAAATACATCGGATACACACTTCTCGTCTTAGGTTCTGCTGCCGCCACATATTATTCCTTTCCATTCTCGGAAAACGCGAGAGACAAAAAAGCTCAGCTATTTCGGTATGCTCCGTTGCCGGATGATCTTCATACTGTGTCTAATTGGAGTGGGACCCATGAGGTTCGAACTCGGACTTTTTTGCAACCCGAGTCAATTGAAGAGCTTGAAGGGATAGTGAAAGAAGCGAATGTGAGGAAGCATAAGATCCGGCCGGTTGGATCGGGTTTGTCGCCGAATGGGATTGGGTTAACACGAGCTGGGATGGTGAATTTGGCGTTAATGGATAAGGTTTTGAGTGTGGATAAGGAGAAGAAAAGGGTTACTGTTCAAGCTGGGATTCGGGTTCAGCAGCTTGTGGATGAGATTAAGGAGTTTGGGATTACTCTTCAAAACTTTGCTTCCATAAGAGAACAGCAGATTGGTGGCATTGTTCAGGTGATTGATTGATTTGTTCCTGGATGTTTTATACAACTTATTATGTTGATTTCTTGTGGATTACTCCTCCGGTTCAATTTGTTTGTCTTAAAGAATGCATCTTAATTCTTCGAATTTCAACTTTTCACCTGATAAGTTTAAGACCATGGTACATTCTACATATCTTTAGTTTAGGAACACAAGATTCAAAAGTTTTGTTCTTTCCTACCCTCTGTGTCCAAGTCAAAACCGGATGAACAAATTGAACTGGAGGGAATAGTTTATTTAATAGATAAAAGTGAAGTGATAGATAATTAGAGGGCTAACTAAAATACATAGTGTTTCCATTCCAAAATTTCTCCCATATATGTGATATTATCTAATTGGGATTAAGGTTCATGTTGACAGGCTTACATGAGGTGATTAGGTCCAATGATTGGTAGGAGTCATTTTAATCTTGCTAGAAATTTTTGTGTCAGTAAAGAATGTATAAGCCTTTTTTAAAAATGAAATGGAGCAGAAATGTATTGTTAGGGAACATGAATGATTGAATATTGTTATGAAATGGGTTCAAATGGAGTGAAATGGACAATGAGAATTCATATAGCCTGATTGACTTGTGGTTGGCTGGTTATTTTTGCCTCTTTTATACTTCTAAACTATTTTTTTTAGTTCTTAGAGAAGACTACGTAGTGGGTGCGTCCTTGGTATTCAATTCACTCTTAATTTGAATTATTTCAAGCTGCTACATTTGTCTTAATTCTTTCATCCCCAATTAAACTAGGATAATTGACTGAGGGAGTGAGAATTTTTGAGGCTGGGGTATATGTTTTATTATGTTTTGCCTTATTTGTGCTAGTGCTGAAGCTTTAGTTATGGCCTATATATGTATAATTATGCCTTCTCTAGGTTTACAATTCAAGTAGAGTTCCAAAGACCGTTTGAGGCCTGGTATACAGTATACTACATTTGCATACTGGCAATACTTTGGCTTGGAGAAATACTGGATGCTTTTGACTTTACCAAAAAAGAAATACTGGATGCTTTTGAGGGAGAAGTTCTCCCTGTGTATAGATTATAACTTTGCTGTATACTAACTGTTTTGTGGTGGCCAGAAAGTTGTCTCTAGTTTTGGTGACATGATGAGTGTTTTGGTAAGCTTATGCATGTACTCTGTACACTTGTACTTTCTTGATGTACATCTACCTATGTAAATAAAAACCTTACTTTTGCATGATCAATCAAAGGAAAAATGTTCAGGCTGGTTCCGATTCATTCCATGTTGTGTTTCAAGGACTTCATCCTATGTGGTTTGCGAGCTATTGCATAGGAGCGGGTGTTTTACCCTGTGCTCACCCAAAGGGTAGCGGCTGCGGGTTTCACTTGTCATCCAAAAAAAAAAAAGGACAGCATCTGCTCTTTGCTACTTGTTTGAAGTTTCTACATTATTCCAACTTGCAGTTACTTGATATATTGATTAGTCAGATGGATGTTTTTCTTTTGAGGATTGATTGGGGAAATTCTAAAGCTTTTGTTCCTTTGAATTCAAATTGTTAGGTTGGTGCCCATGGCACTGGTGCCAGGTTGCCTCCAATTGATGAACAAGTCATAAGCATGAAATTGGTTACCCCTGCCAAGGGCACAATAGAAATTTCAAAAGAGAAAGATCCAGAACTCTTTTATCTAGCTCGATGTGGACTTGGGGGACTTGGTGTGGTTGCAGAAGTCACTCTTCAGTGTGTTGAGAGGCAGGAGCTTGTAGAACATACATTCCTGTCTAACATGAAAGATATCAAGAAAAATCACAAGTAAATATTTGCTTTTTTTTTTTTTAGTGAATTCTTTTCCCTTTTGGGAAGCTCTCATAGTTGTTACATTGGACCTTCTTGGAGGGTTTCTTTGATAAAGAGCTTGTTACCTGTTAATATTAATGTATCCAAGCTAGCGACTTGCAAGCATCCCAAAACCCAGCACAAGGGATCTCATGGAAAAGAATTTAAGCTTTGTTGGTATTATTGTGAGAGACATATGCTTGTGTATTTGTGATTAGTGAAACAAGGATTGCTCATATTTTGAAATATTTGACTTTAAACTTCCCATATTCTACGTCAATTCGAGCTTGCTCGATCTTAGATCCACAAATCTCACTGACCATGATAAACTCCTATTCCTTCAACTCCTTTCAATAGATTCTTCTCAAACTCCTCGTCAGATGTGAATTTCAACTTCCATTTTTTTTTTTTAATTGATACGTATAATAGCTTGACCACCCATCAACTTTTCAAGTTGATAAAGAAGTTAGGGCTAATGACATCAGCCATCACCCATCAACATCCATTTCTCTATTCTTTTGATTGTCTTGCTGCTCAGTCCACACTTATAACTAGAGCTATAAGCTCTAATTTTTTTCTTTGATGATGAAGTAAATTATATAGATATGCACTCAGAAGATGCACAATAAATATAATATACATCTCTGTTGCATCCAAGGGTGTGACCTAGTGGTCAATGAAGTGGGTTGAGAACAATGAGATCTTAGGTTCTTAATTTCAAAAAAAAAAAACAATGAGATCTTAGGTTCAAATCCCTACAGAAGCAAAATACTAGGGGATTTCTTCTCATCAGTCTTGAACTCGGTAGACAGAGTTACCTAGAACCGTGTTGGCGGGAGGTAGCAGATACCTTATAAAATTAGGTGAGGTGCGGGAAGGCTGGCCACGACACGGCAATTATTCGAAATAATAATAATAATGCTACTCTATCTCAGTTGTGGGATTACACCGGGTATGTTGTTGCTACTCTATCTCATTAGTATCTTCTGTATTTGTGGGCTAGAACATTTGAGAGAGGACAGAAGATAAATAATGAGAAAGAAATAAAATGTTGGAGAAGAGAAGAGATGAAAGAGAGATAAATATAAGTGGTAGGGTAGTTGCTGAAAGTAATGATGAGACTATAGTGTGAGAGTTGTAGTCCCTTATAGGTGAACAATTATTTATCTCATATTGCGCACTGACTGGTGCATCTTTGTTGTAGACAAAATCCCGTACAAAACAACTTCTAGAAATGACTTGTAAAAGTAAAACAACTTGCTAGTAATTGTCGATAACCCATGTACCCGTTCAAACTGCTGTATTGAGAAAATCTAGGTATCTCAGTTTAATCTCGTCTAGTGTTTCCTGGACTTGAATGGAAGCTAACCAGTAGTTGCTCCAATGGAGTTTATCTTGCCTTCTTGGTTTTAGCAACTTTAAGTGTACTTTTTAGCCTACCCTGGAATGTAGTTGAAGTTTTTGCACTTTCTAAATGTGAATGCTGATGATTTGTTGCACCTATATAAATATGTTATTATAGCAGTTTGTTGTTAATGATGATGCATGCTTCACATGCATAGCATGGTGAAGCACATACATTCACTTAATGTCCTTTGCTTGTGAAATAATGCCACTAACATGTCATTACTTCAGGAAATTCCTATCTGAGAACAAGCATGTCAAATACTTGTATATTCCATATACTGATGCAGTTGTGGTCGTGACATGCAATCCTATGTCTAAGAGGAAAGGTCCACCAAAGAATAAACCTAAATATACTACAGAAGAAGCCTTGCAGCATGTCCGAGATCTCTATTTGGAGTCGTTGACTAAATACAGGTATGGTGGCATTGAACTAGC